ATTTAGGGCTACTATCAACATGATTTGTGTTTGTCTTTCTGCCTCTTTCATTCACACTAGCTGTATTCTCCAATCACGCCGACCGTCACCTTGTCTGTGCCCCAGATGGGAATTCTTAGCGAGCTTCTTACAACACTTGACCTTGAAATGTCCAATTTCTCCACACTGAAGACACTTTCTACCTCGAGCAGGACATCTCCAATCTCTGGCTAAGTGATCCTCTCGACCACAATTGAAACAGTCCCTCTTCTCGCTACTAGTGCTCCCTCTTAAACTCACCACAATGTTAACCTGCTCTGAACTTATGTGACCTCCCGTTGCCCCATCGTCAACAACAGTGTTCACTTGTCCTGAACCACTATTAGCCCCCATTGCTTCCATCTGCAAACTAACTGCTTCCTGTGCCCGAGCTGTAACTAGTAGATCATTCAAAGTAACGCTGCGTTCCTTTTCTAAAAATTTCCGACGAAATTTTGCCGAGTAACATTTGCCAATCAATTGATCTGTGATGTACTCATCTTCCCGCTCTCCAAACTCACACGAAGCGGCTCGTAGTCTGAGCCGACAAACAAATTGATCGACGGTTTCTTCATTACTCTGACTAATTTACCGAAACAAATGTCTCTCAAACGGTACGTTAGCTTTAGGAATAAAATAGCCATCCAGTGCCTTGAAAGTTTCGGCGTAGTTCTTCTCTGCTCCATCAGGCACCAGTGTGAAATAAACTTCCTGTACATCGAGTCCAGCTGTGTGAAGAAGCAGGCCACGTTTCTGCCAGTCATTCGTGATCCCTTTACCAAGCACGTATAACTGAAACGCTCTTTTCCATTTTCTCCATCGCTGCGAAACCGAATGCGAATCTCCTTTAACTTGAAAAGACTGCAAACTGCCTACTACCACAGCCAATGGGGTCGACACCCCACTACTTGTGCTCGCCGAACTGCCATCTCCCTCACTTGAATCTCCGCTCGGCATTGTAAAGAAGTATGTCCCCTCCAAACACAAAATGGTAAAAGAAACTAGCACAAAGACATTCCTCACCATCCCATCCTCGTCGCCAGATGTGATATTTGGATATACGGCAATAAAAACTTTCGATTTTCTTTGATTTCAATACTTTAACCCACACACTATCCACATGGCAGCCAACGAGTACCACAACAACAACTTTCGCTAGGCATCACGGGATGCCTACAAACACAACCTTTTCACACTTCCGGTACAATACACTACAGTGACTAGCGAATATCGCTCGAAGCTAGCTACACAAACCACTGTTCATTTCTATTTCCCCTGCGTCAAAGTGCAAGAACTAAATTCGCCTTCTATTAGCAAGTAGTTCAGTTGCGAGGAGTCATTGTAGCGAAACCATTTCGGAGCCGAACGGAGTTTAGGAGTTCTCTACCCCGGAGTCAAGATCCGATTTTTTACCGCCTGTGCTGTAGAAAGACTGCCACCTGAAGTGAATAAAGAGTTTTGATGCGGCTACTTGTCTAAAGTTCAACACTGTGGTTATACTGGCGAGCTCCGGTGCACAACACCACGTGTCTGCGGCATCGAGAACGCGACAAAGACTACCAAGGTTTGGTATGAAATAAAAGGGTACCTCGCGGTACATATTTAATCGATCATTCGAGATGGCTATCCGTAATCTGTGTCAGTCGCTTACACTTTTCATTTACACACCTGAATAGTTAAAGAAATCTAAAGCAAGAAACTAGTTCGCGGTTTAGAAAGAGGTAAATTTGAAATGGGCGGCTTAAAACATTTTGCTTTTGCGGTAACACAGCGGGTTAGGGAAAAGCTTAAGAACATTCCAAATTTGTGTTGGCTTATAACAAGGGAAATCACCTTCAACTTCTTTGACACGCATAAACACCCTTAGACTTTAAGGTTTTACTGTCATTGTTGCTGATCACGAAGAAGTGGTGGCTCTTTTTTTCACTTAACCTTTTGAATGAGAATGTACCAGATACAGACAATTTGTCGGTCTTGGACAAGTCCTATGATAAAAATTGACACTGCATAAAGTTTTTTTTCCTTGACAGTTGACAGCGGGAGCATTGATTGACTCTTCGTTCTTGTCCAGTAAAAAAACAAAGAAATAAAAGAGCTTTTAACACTGCAACATTATTGTATGAAAATACTTTAGAAAGGTACCTCGCGGTACATGTTTAATCAATCACCTGAGATGGCTATCCGTAGTCAAACACAAAAATTAGCCTTCGACCTCTTCCACAACCAGAAACACCCAAAGACTCAAAACCATTGACAGCCTAAGCATTGACTCTTGCTCCTTGCTGAAGAAACGCTGAAGAGAAACAAACCCTTAACTTTGAAAAAGTATCCTATGAAATCAGCTTTAGAACCTCGTGGTACATGTTTAATAAATCATCTGATATGGCTAGCCCTAATCTGCCCCAATCACTTACATCCCATATTTAGACTCCTGAGTAGTAAAACAAATTTGAAGCAAGTCAATTCAAGCAAACTGAATATAGATATTTTAAAAACTCAGCCTGGTTTCTCTGGGTATTTTACTTGCATCTGGCCTCGGTTGTTCGAAGGTCGGATAACACTATCCACTAGATAAATCTCTATCTATTGGATAGCGCAGTACGTTTTGGTAACACTTGTCCGCTGGATAACGAGTTATCCGTTGGATAGCGTTAGCCGCTCTTTGAACAACTGGGCCCAAAACGATATCAAGAACGTTGCCGCTGACTTTTTTTCTCCCTTATGCTCGAACGTGAAAAAAAATAACTTTGTTACCGACTGATATGCTTACTGACTGGTTGACTGACTGGTTGACTGACTGACTGACTGACTGGTTGATTGACCTCCTGACTCAATGCCTGACTGACTGGCTAACTAATTGGTTGACTGACTTTACATTTTACATTTACATGTAAAATTTTACTTGCTGACTGACTCGTTACTGACTGTGTGACGAATCCGCGCTACAAAGGTGGGCGCCCTCTAGCACAGACAAAACACCAAGCACAAACGAACCCGAGAAGACACGCCACAACACAACTAAACGTAGGCCTACAAATATTTATTATCCTAGTTAAAACAATAAAGCAACCAACAATAACGACAACACAATGAACTGAATTATTTATCTTAATTAATTTACAGAAATATGATAATTTAAACTACAGTACACTAAAACTATTTACAAGAGTCATTGCTATTAAGATAAAAAAAGGTAGGTTTTTTTTAGTTCAGTTCCATTCACCTTCGCGTCCTGTGCTTGACATGTTCTTAACAACCCCGTTACACCAACAAACGACACATAATCAAAACTCACGATTCACAAACCAATCTTCGCATTTAACAACCCAGACTCGCGTTTAACAAACCAAACTCAACTCGCGTTTAACGCAGCTAAACGTAGTAGTTTAACGTAACTTGGTCCTCGCCCATATTTTTCCTTCGCTCCTCTTGTCTTCACTGGCTTTCCCTTTGACAGAAGATAACCTTATCCTTTTCCTTCTTCTGCGTGTTTTTTTTTTCAGTCAGCCTCTCGGCACACGTACGCCCCCAGCAAATGAATTCTTTGTCGTGTGAAAGGACGAATTTTTCCTGAATGACTCTCAGTCAGTAAAACATTCCCCGATCCGAACGAGTCTCTGTAACTTTCCAACCATCGCCGCCGGTAACCCTCTCTCAAAAAAAAAAAAACCAACACAGGCCGTAACCACCCGAATCCTTAAATACATGTGGACGCAAGGTGCCAGAAAAGAATGAAGAAAACTATTTGATATATACAAAAAAGGTTAATTACACAACAGCTTACACAAGTGAAGAATACAACTTGCGTAACAGACACAAATATCACGCACTACATTGATCCTAAGAGAAGAAAATAATTATTTACATATCCCTAGATAAATTCCTTAGCGCTTTCATGACAGACTGGCTGATTGACTATTTGACTGACTGAATAATGACTGGCTGGCTGACTGACTGGTTGACTGACTGGTTGATTGACAGGTTGACTCACTCGTTGACTGACTTGCTGACTGACTGACTAAATGGCTGACTACTTCTCTGATTGACTTATGACTGACTGGCTGACTGATTTTTTCAATGACAAACATCATGACTAATCGCCACCTGGCTGACTGACTGTTTCATTGCCTGGTTGATTAACTGTTTGACTGACTGACTTAACGGTGACTAACTAGTTGACTGACTACTTTATGGACTTTTTGACTAACTAACCGACTGACTGACTGACTGACCGGTTAACTCACTGCTAGACTAGCCTGCTGACTGACTGAATAATTAACTGACTTGCCAACTAACTGTCCGATTGACTGACTGACCGGTTTACCGACTAGTTGATTGACAAAGGGGCCAATTCACTGTAGAAGTGTTTGAATTTCCTCAAATCAAATTGGGTCCAAGTAGAATCCGTCTTAAATCACTGAGTTGCCCCAAATCGCCCAACCGCCTCAAATGAACCACTCGGTTGCCATAACTCAACTGCCTTAATTAACGGAATCCGCTCCAGTGACCCAACCAGCTTAACTGAACTAGCTAGTTCAAATGACTGAGTGGCTCACTGACTGGTTAACTAACTGATTATTTTGCTGATTGATTGGCTGATCAACTATCTGACTGACGCACTTACCAGTCACCCAGCAAGTCGGTCCAACAGTCACTCAACCAGTCGTCATCCAATCAGTCGACCAGTCAGTCTCCACACCAGTCAACCACTAGGTCCGTCCGTCAGTAAGCGGGTCAGTCAGTCACTCAACCACTCATTAGGCCAGTCAGTCAATAAGTTACTTAGTCAGCCCGTCAGTCAGTCAATGAAGCAGTCAGTCAGCTAGTCAGTGAACCAGTCAGTCAGAAAAACATTCAGTCAGAAAAACAGTCAGTCAACCACTTAGTCAACATGTCAGTGAGCCAGTCAGTCACCAGTAGTCGGTGAGTCACGAGTCATACAACTAGTCAGTCAGCAGGTCACTCAGTCACTCAACCAGTCAGCCAGTCAGTTAGCCAGTCAGTCAAGCAGTCAGTCACCCAATCAGTCGACCAGTCAGTCAACATACCAGTCAACGAGCCAGTCAGCAGGTCAGTCAGTCAGTCAACCAGTCAGTAAGCCAGTCAGTCTACCAATCAGTAAGTCAGTCAATTAACCAGCTAGTCACTATATCACTCAGCCACTTAGTGAACCAGTCAGTCTGAAGAAAAGTCAGTCAACCACTTAGTCAACATGTCAGCTAGCCAGTCAGGCACCAGTAGTCGTTGAGTCACCGTTGGAAAACTAGGAATGCCGGTATTCGGAACCGGAATACTTGGAATATCCGAATAAAATACAAAATAAAGTAAAGATTAAAATTAAAAGGAAAAAAATTAAAAACAGTTCTCTATATAAAAGGAAACTTTTCTATCCACCAGTCAGTCGAAGAAGAAGTCAGTCAACTACTTACTCGTCATGTCAGTCAGCGAGTCAGTCACCAATAGTCTATGAGTCATCAGTCAGTTACTCAGTCAACCAGTCAGATAGCCAGTCAGTCAATCCGTCAGTCAGTCGACAGGTCAGTCAGTGGGTCAACCAGTCAGCAGCCAGTCAGTTAGCCAGTCAGTCAACCAGTAGGTAAAACAATCTATCGACCAGTCAGTCACCACACCAGTCAACCAGTCAGTCACCGCACCAGTCAACCGGTCAGTCACCCCACCTGTCAACCAGTCAGTCAACCAGTCAATCAGCAGGTCAATCAATCAGTCAGTCAGCCAGTCAATTAGCAAGTCAGTCAGCTATTCAGCAAAATCAACCCGTCAGTCAGCAAAACAGTCAGGCAACCACTTAGTCACCATGTCAGACAGTCGGCAAGTCATCACTAAATCGGTGAGTCACAAGTCAGTTAGGAAGTCACCCACTCAGTTACCCGGTCTATTAGCCAGACAGTTAATCAGTCAGTGAACAGGTCAGTCAGTAAGTTAATAGTCGGTCAGCC